ATATATACATATAGCAAAAAATAAAGAGTTCTAGAACAAGGTATTATCATTCTTAATGATAAAAATGTTCATACTAAAACACTTTACAACCTTATCAACATTCTCTTTTCCATAAATAGTTCATAAGAATATCAAAATGATATATTTCTATTATTTTGATATATAAAAACATGCCCATTATAGACAAATACACTTTAAGTACTTACGTTATGTTTACTTTTTCTTCAACGACGATTCGAGAGATTCATATTGACCTTAATTTAAGAAAGTGTTACAAGATAATGATAGATGTATGTGTATTTCAAAAGCAGAATGTTTTAGAATTAAAAAGAACACAGCAATTTATAACATAATGCCATTTTTATGTACATTAAAAGTATAAAAAATATAAGAACAGCCGCCAGAAACCATTTAACAACTATATGCATTATGTAAGAAAATTGAAAAAGTACTGGAAGCATAATAAACAAACTGAATACATAGACAGTTATGAATATTGTAAGTTTGATCCTCGGGCGACACGAAATTCACCTTGACAATTGACCTCCGGAATCTTGTCTTAAAGTCATTTGTCTCAACGCTGACTGGCAAAATGTGTGTCTTAATAGTAGCTGATCACTTGCGAAAAATTTGGTAAGTTCTGTAGGTTACCAAGTTAAATACATCGACTGCCGACATATGAACAAACAAATTGAGTTAAAATCAGCGTTCACAAAAAACAACATGTTCGACACCTATTACATAACCTGTTATTGGCTTAAAAAGTTTAATTTGTATCTTTTTTATTTAATTCCTTGACAAATTCTAACTATCACTTTGTCCAAGTTTGGTAAAACATATTTAAAAGGAAAATTAACTCGTACCTGCTTTAATAATTTCAATGACATTGAATTATCTCTCTTGTCTTTTTGTTCAATATAGTGTATTAAATATCAAGTTGTCTAGCATGGGAAGTATTTAATCAATATCTTCGGGGATTTTTTTTAATTATTGCTAATTGTAAAATTAGGGATGGGCGCTTAGGATATACATGTATGATTATATATTCAGGAAATCCCTGTATTACTCAGACACTTTTATTTTGAAAGTGATTTCGAAAAAATAATTGACATCAAGCAAAACCGCAAAACCGTTTCAAGACTGGATTGAAATAAATATAAATAATAACGATATCGATATTGATCGCAGTTGTCTTGTTATATACTTTATAGTCTTGCTTGTAGTGTTAGGGGCAGTTCATTCAAACAAAACTTTTTCGTTACATATTAATTAAACAATTAATTTAATTGGCAACAAAAAGTAATCAATGAGTTGAGTTAAAATAGAAATGTACGATCGAAAGTGAATTGTTTATACAAAAATTGTTTATATAAACGTTAAACTGGCCAAAATAAGAAGGTCTTGGATATGGCCATACATAACGATCGTTCTACATTTTTAAGATATGTTTCTTTTTAAAGTTAAAATAATTGTAACTTGTTTTCTTTTTCAAACCAAATTTTACTCTGTTTACGTAGTAGAAGGCTTCAATGGCAATATCTTATAGCGGGACAATGCAATAAGGCAAATTTCACTCGCGCAGGTTTAAATAAAAAATGTCAAAATTAAAAGTTGCCAAATCTATTTAGATATTAGGGGGAAGATTCTTAAAAAGCAATATATTAACTTTTGTGTATTAGAAAAATGATGTTGGGGAAGTTTTTGTTTTTTAGCTCTTTTTATAATATATCGTTTTGGAATTTTGTTATTGTCAAAAGTCCCTTTGTCATAAAACCACTATGAAAAACAAATATACTGTCATTTATATATGAATAAGATCCGGTTAAAATGATATCGTGCTGGTATTTTTGCCAAGTCTAAAGGCATATTTTAATAACTTTTGTCTACAGTAAGCAGAGATGCTTATACATGCATCATATCCGTATTTAACAGATACCTTAACTTCATGAGAAAATCATCAGTACATTTTTCTTTCACTACAATTTAAATACATTTTGGTCATATCTCGGCAGTGGGTCCCTCTGAGAAATTGACCACTGATTTTTCTTCAAACGTGGCCAGCTACTAATCCCACGTTATTTCTGCATCAGCGCTGAAAGGCAAAATACCATAAGACTTTAAGTTCAAGTTCATTTATCATTTAAAAATATCGACTTTCCCGAAAATCGGACCAGTCACCCCTGGGTGAAAGATCAACCCGACGATCTCTTCATTGAAATGAGAGGATTTTCTGAGATTCATGATAATAAGAGAGATCACAAATACATATTTCTAAAACCTAGCAATTATTTTAAAGATTATATTGTCATTTTTGGTGTTATCATCAATCATGCACATTTTAGAGATTTAGTTTGACAATTACAAATTGTTCTATCTTACCTTTCCTCGTTCTTTCTTTTGGTAACTTCTCCTTTATACTTATCCTCTTGTCGGCCTTTGAATTGATTTTCTTCTTTGATTGCCTTGTACGTTTCTATGATTTCCTATTTTGAATGATTTATAATGACTCCCGGGACGAGGTGTACCCTGTCCTATTTGTTGTCCTGTTGGACTCCTTGCTGGTTGTCCTGGGTTTAAGGGTGATGGGTTCGTTAAATGCCGCCCGTTCTTGTTGATGTTGTTTTTATAGTTTACACGCCAATACCAAGAACATAGAAACAATGTGTTCTTTATTTCACATTTGTAATATCATTGAAGGCATACGACCATTTTAAGATAACATATAGACACTCTTTTGCAGTATCTCAACATACATAACTTTTAAGTTACCAATGTCTGAAAAAAATCAAATATCCAAAACCCAAAATAAAAGTCTTTCGTCGATGAAAATAACTTTTAAAATACATCATCTTTGAACAACAATCAAAATAGAATATATCCATATCAAACAAAATAGTGGTCTGGTATCGATTGATATAGACAACATAGACTACTTTTACGCGTTTGTACCTTTAAAATTATTTCTTTTTTATTTTTGAAATAATGTCAACATATATAAAATAATTAGTTCTGCAGTTACTCTAAATTCTAAATGGACAGGCTTTACAATAGTTTTTCTTCATATGTCATCAGTTGTAATCATCGAAAAATCATCTTGGTTAACCAAACTTCCTTCTATACGGTCAATTTATGCGTCCTCGTACTAACAGTTCTACTCGTATACAAATTGTTACTGGTTTCTATACACTCACTTACACAGTAGGAAAGTTGTTGGTGATCTTAAAACTTTGCAGTTTAACATTAATAAGTATTGATTTTTCTAGCATTTTCACGGAATATTCCATACATTTTTGTATTTTTTACTTTTGTGAAACATGTATAATCTCAGAATATGCATAAAGAATGTGTATTGGCGCAAAATTATGAAGTATAAATGCAGAGTGATGAATGAAAAACTTATAAATTTTAGTTCAGATAATAATTGATAAAACTAAGATTGTTTTCCGATATACTTGACCCTCATTCTATAGTATTGAAGTCAAATACAATTAATATCGTGTAAAAAGTAAATATTTCTCAAGCTACGGGTAATATACAAATATGGCACCGAATATGTAGCGATATTTGCTGGCATCGGTCAATATACGAATACATTTTATAGAAATTAAAATAAACGCTTGTTGTTTCCATTTTCTCCGATTATACAATACTTCTATGACAGTCTATCCTTTAAGATTTGCAAACTTTCATTTCTTGCATGTACATGATCATTTCAGTCATTTTGAATGAAAGATTGAATTCTAAAATGTTGCTGTTGTCGATTTAATAATATGTTAAAGAAATGAATGACGTGTTTACACTTTCTCTAAGATAAGAATATATTTCTTAAGGAAAAATTAGTTTAATCATATTTTATTGCTAATATATACATGTAAATATACAGAGAAACAAATTGATTTCGAAATAACAAATATCAAAAAGGTTGGGCCCAAGTTCTTACAACATTAGCGATCGTATAAAGAAATCAAAACGTAAATCGATATGGCAGATGCACTGAAAACATACCGACACTATTTTAATTTTCATTTTAAGGTTTCAGTATGTAATAATATTCAGAAATAGAGTGTATAATCATTGATTATTTAAAACGAATTTATAAATTTGACATCCAAAGGAAAATAAATTCTGTTTCGGTATATTATGATTGAAAACATGTCTGACAACAAATTTTAAGTAAGATATGCTAACTGAGTTACAGTTATAAACAAATACGAATTAATGTCAACAGATTGGCATTTTGAACTTTCGGTTTCTACAACCATAATAATAATATGTATATAAATAATGTACTGTTTACTTTTATATCTATGAATTTAATTATTTTAGATGAACTTTTACTTGATAGTTTGGGAAAAAAACATGTCAACAACTTCTTCAAGCAATATTACATAAAGAATATCCAAATGATACATTTCTTTTGTGTTTATCAATATTTAAAATGCTTATGGTAAATGTGCCACTTGTAGAATATAATAAACAAGATCAACAAGGAAATGCGGCGTTCAATGAACGCAACCCCCACACGACCCAGACCGATCCAATTAAACACGAAATCTCTATAATACTTGGATGTGACAGAACGGCATATAGAAACAGGTATTTGGACCACAGTTTCATATGTATTGGAAAAAAAAACATTTTCTTGACACTTGTCAATCGCCATTTTTGGGCCACAAATCTTACACTATAAAATATAAAAAAAACCAGATTTCATCACCAATCACAATATTAGAAAAACGACGGCTATTTTATTAAGGAAGCATATGCAGTGATTTTCGAGCGAATTTAACTCGCTTCTTCTTCTTTTGGTCAGACGTTCGCAAAGGGGGTATCCATCTGGCAGCTATTTGTGAATCTTCACAATCGAATGAGTTGACACTTTTTGGCGAAAGTCTAGCATCTTTGTCAGTGAAAATCCTGAATCTATGAATGTCTTGTCACTTAAGTAGCGTTTTCTACGATTTCTGCTAGACTTACAGGTAAGTGACCAGCCATTTAACATGAAGTTGCTCGTGTAAGGTTTGGGTGTTTTTTTTTAATTTGAATAAGATTTTTAATCGATTGACTAAATCATTTGTAGCAGATTCTTTCAAGATTAGCCATTTTACACAAACAAGAATCACGCGCTCAATTAGAAAATGTACTTAATATTGCACTTAGTTTTGAATGTATTGAATAAATCATATCTGCATACACAACCAACAAATAAAATGTAAATTTAATAAACGCTTTGAATGAAATATATAATTATATCTGTTTCGATTTCACATAAGAAGTTGACATAAAGATTTCCGCAAATCTTAAACAGTTCTTTTGATGTTATTCAGGGATCTTATTACAGTTAAATACTTGTGGCAAGATATAATTCTAAAATATTGCGTGGATTTAAAAATGAAAACCCACAAAATGATTGTCCTCGAGGGAGCAGTTTAGTAGTATTCGTCTATAGATGAATCAGGTTCGCATCTCTCCAGAGATTGATAAGGTTAATATCCTTCCTGAGGGGAAACAGGTTCCTATCCATCAAGAGAGCGACCATGTTCGCATTCCTCCAGAGAGTTATCGGGTTCACATCCCTCCAGAGAGGAATCAGGTTCACATCCTCCCTCCAGAGAGGACTCAGGTTCACACCCTCCCTCCAGAGAGGAATCAGGTTCACATTCCCCCAGAGAGGAATCAGGTTCACATTCTCCCTCCATAGAAGGATCAGGTTCGCATTCCTGCAGAGAACGATCAGGTTTGCATTCCTCCAGAGAGGAGTCAGGTTCGCATCCCTCCAGAGAGGAAACAGGTTCTTATCCGTCTAGAGAGGAATCAGGTTCCCATTCCTCCAGAGAGGAATCAGGTTCACATCCCCCAGAGATGAATCAGGTTCACATCCTCCCTCCAGAGAGGTATCAGGTTCACATTTCTCCAGAGAGCGGTCAGGTTCGCATTCCTCTAGAGAGGAATCAGGTTCGTATGCCTCCAAAGAGGAGTCAGGTTCGCATCCCTCCTAAGAGGAAACAGGTTCGTATCCGTCTAGAGAGGGATAAGGTTCGCATCCCTCCAGAGTGGAATCAGGTTCGAATTCCTCAAGAGAGGGTTTAGTGTCGCATTCCTCCAAAGAGGGATCTGGTTTGCATCCCTCTAGAGAGGGATCAGGTCCGCATTTCTTTAGAGAAGAATCAGGTTTGCATTCTTCTAGAGAGGGATCAGGTTCGAATCCCTCCAGAGACGGATCTGGTACGCATCCCCAAAGAGAGGAATCAGGTTCGCATTCCTCTAGAGAGGGATCAGGTACGCATCCTTCAAGAGAGGGATCTGGTACGCATCCCCAAAGAGAGAGGGATCAGGTTCGCATTCCTCTAGAGAGGGATCAGGTTCGCATCCCTCCAGAGAGGGATCTGGTACGCATTCCTCAAGAGAGGGATCAGGTACGCATTCCTTTAGAGAGGAATCAGATTCGCATCCCTCAAGAGAGGGATCAGGTTCGCATCCCTCCAGAGAGGGATCATGTTCGCATTCCTCAAGAGAGGGATCAGGTACGCATTCCTTTAGAGAGGAATCAGGTTCGCATTCCTCTAGAGAGGGATCAGGTTCGCATCCCTCAAGAGAGGAGTCAGCTTAACATCTCTCCAGTGAGTAACCAAATTCAAATCCTTTCGCAGATGAATCAGGTTATGTATCCTTCACAGTGATAATAAACAGTTTTATTGTGTACACAAAACTTTGCTTACAGCCATATCTCCTTTAATCGTTGATACTTATAACAAAACATCTTGGGTTTTTCAACCGTAGATTTACAGAATTGACTTCCTATTCATTTTTGGAAATTGTACTAGTCCAGAAAACGGCATAGTAGATATTTACAATATACATTTACTTACAAATCAAATTAAGCCGATTCTCAAACAATATAAATATTCTACAATAAAATATATTATTCATAATTATGAAGGAAGTAGGATCCTTCAAGAAATGTTAAAAAACCTTGTATATTAATATTTCAAATTGTCTATATTCAGTGAATAACTTGAAAATTAGAATATGTCAATCTAGTTAGGAGAGATCATTGTCACACATGTGTCTTTTTACTGCAAACTTATAATTAGTATGGCAAGCGCAATCGCTAACATAGTTATGTTTGTATTACGGAAACATTAAAAACAAAATTTCCTTATTTTAATTAAACGTTTGCTGACGAGTCGAAATAAATTTTTGCTGACTCAAAATAGAAAGAGTAGCTATCAATATGTGTCCTTATATGGAATATAATCAATGTTTAAAAATAGAAATACTAGCTATAAAAAAGATTTTTAAAAAAAGAGCAATATCAAGTTTATACCCCAAAATATGAAAAGCTGATTGGTCTGGAATGGAAGTTAATATTTCCTGCTTCCTTACATATATGGAAGTTTATCATCGAATTAAAAAAAATTAAGTAGTATAATATTTAACGTCCCTATGTCGATAAACAGGTATTAATGTATTCTAAATCACTTCTGTCTGGAAAGGTCACCATGCTTGCGTGTATGATTACAGACAAGGCCGTTAACGAAGAGCTAATTTAACCGTCTATCTTCCGAACGATATTCAAAACAAAAGCGCACATTACAAAAATAATGTGTTAACGTGTAGTATTTAGAACAGAAGATACGGGTTAACGCTTTCTGACTTTATTCAATTTATCTTAAGGACATAAAATTGAAACGTTAGAACTTAGTGTCCAGCTTTATTTGTCATCCAATAAAAAGGCTGCGTTTTTTTAAAATTATGTGCGTTATTTTTCATAGAAGAACAAAAGTCGATACTATATCGAATTCCGTTCCTAGTCGACTTCTATTTTTCTTAGTACTTCATAGAGAACCGCATAGTGACGTAAAGTGAATAATAATGAAGCCAAATAAAGCTTTACACTAAGTATGTTAGTATTCATCCGTAGCTGTTCTACAGAAATTAAAAACATTCTCCTGTCGCTATCGCTCCAGTCGAAGTTTCTAATTTCTATAGAACAGCACGGATGAACACTAACATATACATAGAACAAAATAATGATTTATTGAATAGATAAATGGAGTAGTACAATAATAATTATATTGGGAAAGAAATAGATGTTTCTATTACCTTTACATGTGTGTATATGAAACATATACAAAGATATAAACTATCATTATTATATCAAAATATATTCTTATTATGGGGAGATATGAACGTTTATTTGTTTATTTTTCAATAGTTTTTTTTCAGTTTCTATATACATTTGTTAAAAACAACATTAAAAACATTTTTTTTCTATAAAATTAACTTTAAACATATCCCGGTGTCTTTTGTTTTTACTTTCGTTCTTACTAATTATCAATCAGTGCAGTGTAGGGCTGGAAAATACCACTACAAGAGACGATGTAAAGATTTTTGTTATTTAAAATTATTTTACTTTATACTATCATATTGCTATAAATATTATATTGTTCAACATCATCAAAATAAAACTCTTTCCAATTTATTTCCTCTACTCCGAGATCTTACAATTTCATTATCACTCTCAAAAGAGTCAAGGCGTTTTGTAATTTCCTTATAGTATAATATTATTTAAAGGCACATAATGCCTAAGAAACGAATTATTTTTTACTTCTTTAGAATGGGTTAACAAGAAATTTATAACGTTTAAATAATGGGCATAGAACATGAACATGTAAGATGCTTTGTTACCAGAAGAAAGAAGGGCTTTATGTGAAAGAATTTAGTCAAAAATGAAGCAAAATGTATACAAAGTAGTATTTTGACTGCTATACAAAATACTCGATCACTATAAAAGTATAAAGTAACAGAAGCAAAAAAAAATTATTAAGGTAATTGGCCAATAAGTATTTTTTTTGAAAACTATAATAATGCACAAAAAGTTAGAAAAAGAAGCATTTCTAGGGCATAATGGGCCTTTAAACATACAATAACAATTTTAGCTGTGTCAATCGGATACAGTTCAACGCCCTTTTATCTTTTTCTGCTCGTGTTAAACAAATATCTCTACATGCCTTGCATGTTAAATGTCGTTAACTGATTCTGTTTTCATTGTAATTTGAACATTCCCTGTTCCAGCACAAAAAAAAACAGAGTCAAATAATGTGATTTTAAAAAAAATGATTGCAAATGCTCGTAACTAATTTTAAATCTAAGAACAAAAATATAATAAGTTATCACAACTTGAATGTGACATTTTATTTAATGAAATGCCATGTTGAGGGTTTTACGGAACGTCGGTGGTTCTACTCAGGGGTCCGTTCGTGCCTGAAATAATGCACTGAAGTGCGTGTATTCCTCCCCTCCCCTAGTAAAGCTGGAAAGTCGCTATATGACCTACAATGTGCTGGTATGATGTAAAAGCCAAACAAACAATTAAACAAACATGTTAAGGATTGACATACAATATGATAGTTCTTGTACATTTAATACATTCACCCTTCTTGACACCCAGCTTAGTTTTAAAGGTAAGATAAAATATTTCAAAATGAACGTTCAATTACAGTTATATTGATGGAAAACTATATAAAAAAGACTATAAGCGGGAAAATTTTCAACATGACATGAAATCATACAACATGTATCTATTGAAAAACTACTTGAAATAAAATGATGCTGAATTTTTAGTAGAGAAGAGAAATTAGAATTAAGATTATATTTTGCTGCTTAAGTATATTTTGCTGCTTAACAATGTCCTCTTCACAATCAAAATTAAATTGATTTTTAATATATAATCAGATCGAGAATATCGACACTGTGGCATACACTATCAATAATATTTCAGATGATTCGCGCTTAAACCAGGAATACAATACAATTTGAGAAAATTGTAATCAAAGGAATTTGATTTTTGCACCACTGCAAAACGCTGCTGCGCTTAAATCCCATTGGTCAAATTTTACATGCCGCATGAATTTTCCCGAAAGTGAATATGATAAGTTAAACTGATAAAAGAAATCATTAGTAGGACTTCTTTTACGACGATCATCTGTACTCTGGCTATTATTTCACAATGTATTTATCGATATAACATCTTTTCTAGTTTTATTATCAATGTCACGCAACTTGCCGGGGTTGATAATATTATCCCGGTATGTTGTTGGCAGGTACTGCAGCGTTCTTTTTGAAGCTTTATCAAAAGCAGGTGTCATACTAAACCATCAAACTAACTTCAAGGAGACGCTTATCAAATGAACCAGCGTCAAACATGTCATATAAAAAATATACCTTTAATCCGAAACATATCGTATAATCTAATATTTTGAATAATGAAATATGATCATGTTTAAGTTTTAATTTATCTTTCAACAAGTAATTATTACCACCGCATAATTGTGATATAATTATCAAATATCACGCTACAACGGAATTGTGTTTAACAATTTTCATATATATATATATGTTGCATTTTAGAATTTGAAATAATTTTTGTAGTAGCTAAAAAAGTTATAATGAAGTTTTAACTCTTAAACTTTATCGTTTCCTTAATGTATATTAACGGTAATAAAAACTTATAGTTAACTCGCCTACACTTAATTATAGATTTATCCTTTGTTATATTTTTTTTTAATCAACAACACGGAAATTGTTCAGTTTATATGGCGACAAAGCATCTTGACCCGGAAGAGAATATTTACCGCTAGTATATAATTTAAGGTAAGAGTTAACATCTGTGTACAATTATACAAATCTTCCAATATAGTCTTCTAGCATTACAATTCGAATTTATTGTATAATGCGGGATTCGAACCGGTTCGGTGATTGTCTGGTTATTTTCAGACAACACCATCAGGCATTCAATTTTGGGAGGTCCCCTCCACGTTATATCGTTTCCACGACGCAAAATAAAATTTTACAAAACCACAAGCATGTGGCAAATATTGACACACATCTTTGATACCAAAGAGTCGGAGTGACGCGATTCTTTTTCTCCAAATAATGTATAGACAAAACCGTCTGAATGTAGTATAATCAGATATCTTTTATCTATATTTCAGTCTGTTGAATCTGATTGTTTCAAAACACTTGTGTGTAAACGGAGTAATAGTATCATTTTCTTCTACCAAACAATAACAAAGAATACTATCACATCTCAAGTATTTGAAACCCCTCAATTAACGTTGTTGGTTTTCATCTTTTTTTTATATATTTTTACCGTCTATTATCCTGTCAGTATGACAACAACGGTTAAATTTTTTGAACGAATGGTAAAAAAAAATACTAAGAATATTAAGAATTTTACAGTTTTATTAAAATATTCAAGGACAAACAAATTTTTAAGTTAAAACATGGCATATTTATAAGAGAAGCTAAACGACATAAACCTCATTTCATACAAGCATTTAACATTTTTCTTTAAACGAAAAAGATATTATTTTTGCATCCATACTGTTCTAAATACTGAAGAAAAATTAAGATAACACTTGTAAATAAATAAACCAAGGAATGATTCGAAATGTAAATAAATTAGTTCTAGCTATAGAAATAGCTATTTTTTTCATTTCTTACAAAAAAAGGTATATGACAACACACAAAAAGGAGGTAAATTATTGCAAATACCGACCTGCACAAAAAGACTGTTATTTTAAACACAGTCATGAAAAAACAAAACAAAAGTACGTAAGTGGCAATCTCTACTTAAGGCGAAAATGAAAATAAAGGTGACCTTGAAACAAAGTGGACGATGACAATGAAGCAGTAGTTTTTAAAAACGTTCATTTTTTTGCTTTAGATGCAGTGTTTAATGGTGTTTTTTTATTTTTAGCTCAAGTGGCCCCTTTTAAGGCCAATCAAATGAATATGAGCAAACTTGATTAAAAAATCACCTAAACTAAAAGTAAAAGAAAACTTTAAAAAAAATCAACGAACAGTGCGATTATTTATAAAATTGATCACGTTTAAGTGGTATTTTGTGTATTTAAACTCTTCCCGTTTTAGTGATCTTTTGTTTATTTAAAATCTGCATTTAGACACGCAAAAATGGTAATATACTAAATATAAACCTTATCATTGACTCATATGATTGAATATAAAATTTTACAAAGTTTCAGGATATCTTTTCATCACACTGGAAAGTACCCAAGAAACCTTATTTCATTTGTCTGATTTCTTTCTTGTTACGAATGTTATCTACTGTCTGCTCTAAGTCTGATGACTCTTGAGGATTTTTTTATCTCCCTAAAGTTAACTCTAATATTATTTCATATACATTAAAATAACTTTGACAAGATTTTCATATGTCTTAGAGGTTATTCAACACTTTGTAAACAGAACCCATATGAAAAATGTCGATGGGTGACGTTATTTTGTATACTTTCTTCTTAAAATAATGTGGATGAATAATCAATAAAAACTTCGTTTGATTATAATTGTCATTTGTCTCTATAGAAAAGCTTTAATTTCGCATTAACGCTTACTATATAAAATGTGAAAATAAGTAATGTTACACATTTGAATGTCTTTCTAAAGGAAACGGACAGTAAGTTAACAGCTATTTTTAAACACCACTTGAGCTGATGATTTTTTTTTGTCTTAAAAAGTCATTGTTTCTTTTTAGATAAGATAGTGTACACTCATCCCGTTTAGTAAAATTCATTCATAAATCTTTAAAGTAGTTAATTGTTAATTGTTTTAGGTCAAGTGTTTTGACAAAAAAAAGATGACCAGAAGTATGTTTTAAAACAATCTGGTGAGAAATATTGTCATATACGTATAAGAGGATGTATACATGAAAGAGTATGCACGCATAAAGACTTAAGAAGTCTGATGAAAATATAATTTGACAACATGAGCAGCTAATAGTTAAGTGTTAACATAAATGCATATACATGTTGATGTATCTGTGTACGTATTTTATACTAACATATATATTGAAAATACATAAAATATATACAATACAGAAAAATGTTGAACACTTTGTATTAATGTTTCTATCATTACTCAGACTCAGCAGTGTGATGATCATTAACACTTTTGAACACAATGTGAGAACGTTTTATAACTGTTGTAAACTTTTAAAAAACACACACATACACACATTTAATATAACTTATTTACAGGGTTTTTTTACATTCAGGTTAGATACTAAATATATTTATATATATTATATATTATATTATATAACAAATGAACACATAAATAAATTATAGTTAAAGCACTATTTTTGCATTTGTTAGCTGGCTTACAAATTCATATTAAAACAACAGTTATTAAAAACAAAAACAAAATGGTAGTGATATTATATTGAGATCAAAACTAGAAAATTTGTTAGTTTTTCAAATGATATACGTTTTGATGAATCAAATGACATGATTATTTCTACTATTTGTACATTCATTTACAGTTTGTTTTGAATGTTTTTTTACTGCGGAGAATTCATGATCTGCCTCATGACAATACTGTGTATTGAGATTCGAAACTTTATGAAAAGATTTATATGGGTCATCTTCAGCGTCTTCTTGGCCAAAATGCTCTTGGTACTCTGTCCCAGTTGAACTTATATACAAGACGGATGCCATCTCTCCTTGACATAAGACCATCCTTATAGTAGTGTCTGAAACATAGTGATTTAAAAGATTAAGAGAATGCAACAAAAGTAAAACATGGTTGATAAGAAAGAATAAAAGTATGTTACAAAAGTAAAACATGATTATCAACATTTAGAAAAATAAAAAATGCTATAATGGCCATCTTTGATTATCAGTATTACAAGAGCTAAAACAAAATATGTCTGATTTACACAATTTTCAGACTTAAGATAGATAAACATGATATCTGTAAAACTATCAAAAACAACTTTTTTCAAAAGAAAGTATTTTTACGATTTTTGGTAACTCTTTCGATTATTTAGAAACATAATATAGTTACAGTGTATTTACCTTATTCCCCGGCTAAGTTTTTCAAAATTCATATCTTCTTTCTTCTTCATTTGTCCCCAAAGTCGACTACATTCAGCAGTATCTACAAATTTAAAGATTCCTTCCCGTTCGTTTTCCCATTTGATATGATTGCTGTTTGGTTTTCTTAGTTCTCCAAGCAGAAACTTCCAAAGCAGAATGTTTTTGGCACCTGAAAAGCAGTTAAAAAGAATTGTTGAAATTTCTTTTTCTAATTGTTTTACTTATGTTTTTTGTGTTTTAACGTGCAGAGCGCTCTAATAATTGTATGAGGGAATATGTAACAAGCAATAAATAATCAGAACTGAATAACCATATAAGTGAAAACAGCACTAAGACTCTTTAAATATTAGCGATACTACTAAATACATTCACTATTTTTTTCCGTATCTCTTTCTAATTTTTGGTTCTCTTCATTTTTCACAAGGTCAATGTTGTCAACTGGGAATGGCTTAATCCAATGTTGTAAAAACGTGTTGCTCAACCCATTTGCATTTTGATATATACTCATTATTTGTATGATATGTTTGTAAACATGCTAATAAAGCAATAAAATATGTTAAAACTAAATTTTGGTTCTCTCCATTTTTCATAAGGTCAATGTTATCAATGTGAGAACACACATCAGAAATAAATAACCGTAAATAACAGCGGACTAGCTTTTAACAAGATGGCCAATTGTGTGCAATCCCTCGCGATATTGGCATCGTCCAACTAGCTAGATCAATAGTTATGTAAAACAAGCTACTGTAACATCACCCGGCTTCAGTTCGCTACTTTTCACCTAAATCACGGGATATATCAGTTCTTCCTTGAAAAGGTACAATGATGGTTACTAATCTTAAAAAGAAAGCCGACAAAATGTAAAAACAATGGAGAATTTTCCCACAGTTTTGTGTCAATAATTTGTAGATCCGTAAGTATCGGCCGCAAAAATAGTAGAAATAACTATGGAACATGAATAAAACTTACCTCTTCGACATCCTTTAGATTGTCCTGATCGGTCGTCCTCATCGCTAGGAATTCCATCACTGTCACTATAGTGATATCCAGGCTTGTTGTAGGTTACAGGCCGTCCGCGTCGACTCGGAACCTTTTTCATCTCTGTGGTAAACACGGAAAAGTTTGGCAAAGAGCTTCCCTCTTCACAAGAAATGCTGTGGTGTTGATCTTCAAAAAAAGTGTTTGTTTTAAATGCCGTAACATTGCAGAAAAAAACATGAACGTATTTTTCATATTTACTAGAACAGAAACCCTGTGTAATAAAATATTTATTAGGTATTTAAAGTTGAAACGAAAGAAAAATACAAGACAAATTGTCAAACTTTATATCAAATCTGATTATCAAATTATTTCTTAATCATTCCATTTTCAGACTTATGAGAATAATCGAAATATTTTATCAACTTGTGACATTTTAATTCAGCTGATGACATTTAGATAAAAAAAATACTTACTTCGAATAATTTGACTATACTGTTGAGTTCTTTGCATTTGCTCAGGAAATACATGATCGTTTTCAACTTCAACTAAAATGTTCAAGAAAAAAAATGAATAAAGACAACAGCATGTAAATTAAATGTTTTATTTTTTTTTAAGTAAATTGGTCAATTTTTGAATGTATGTAATACAATAAATAATAATGTTGATTGTATTTAGCATCAGAAATAACAACAAACGACGAAAGACTTATGCATATATGAGATGTTTGATCCGATATTACATATAGTTTTATAGCAAATAATAAAATGTTCTGATATAAAATATTATTCTTCATCATATAAATATTCATACTAAATCACTTACATGTAGAACTTTTTTTTTCTTTTTTTTTTTTTTTTTTTTGAGGCCACAACTGGGCTACCCGTTTATCATACTTTCAAGTAGAACTTAATCTATATTTTTTATAGCAATACTTTTAAAAAATATCCGAATGATTATATATCTATTGATTTATTAATATTTGAAATTCTTCTTGAAAATGTGCCTATTTAGATCAATTTTAAGGAAGAAATATTCCAATCCTTTTCAATGAAACAATTGTTTTAAACTATTTTAAAATAACATTTATTTTTGAATTAAGATATAACTATAATGTTATGATTGCTTTCTTTTTTTCCCCTTTATTTATGCATGGTATGTAAAATTTGTTTAAATATTTCAAAAAATTAATATTCTTTTATAAATAAAAATGTAATGGGGATATATGTTAAGTTATGAATAAACGACAGATGAGTATTAGAATTTATTTCAAATGCTTATATTGCGTTTTATGAGTGGTTAAAATAGGAATACATATGAAAAGTAGAGAACATGTTTTAAGTCGAAGTAAAAAAAGCATTACTGGTCGTTTAAAATTGAATTCGTATGCAAAGGAGTGAAAAGTATGAGTAGAAAAAAACTGGTAATTACGTAAACAAGAATCCATATGTAAAAGGATTGATATTGAAATTAAATAGAATTGCAGCAGTAGTACAATATTTAAATCATTAGTATATAGATAAGGATCTAGAAAATGTTAAACAAAAGAATAAGATTATTAAGGTTTTTAACTTACAGCTGTCTTCGGAATCATAAGACCACTGGTACGCCTGTTGGTCATGACATGAAGTAGGCATGGCGTAGATGTAGTGATCTGTTAAGTAAAAAGTAAAATGCTAAGTTGTCGATACTTTGTCCTTATTCTTAAATTATTTAATAACAGTTTAAAAGTGTTGGTGAAAAAAAATCAGTTAGAGAAACTGAAATACAAAAGGAGAGATATTTAAAATTGTTTTAAAATATTTCGAATTCCAGTAATCGTAACAAATTTCAAACAACGACATGTCGGAATGCTTGCATTCGACTTTGAAACTTTTTTGTTTTAATTTAAATTTTCAAAAAGGCTATTAAGAACATGTTTAAACTTACCTGCTGGGTAATATCCGGTATTGTAGTTTGAATGATCGTTGTGGGCAATATGTGATTGCTGGTAACATTGTTCGCCGTATTCGGGCTCACGATAGTCAGAATAATGTGGTACTGTATTATGTGTTTCCTGAATATTACCATTTAAATCGAACATATTAGCTGGTGGTATATGGCTGTCCATTGACATTACAGATTGTCCATGTTTTGAATTTAGAATATCATGATTTGCAGAGTACATATGCTGGAACGGCGACGATGGTGACAAATGTGAAATTGGAGGAAGACTTTCAACAGTTGAGCAAGGCACTGATATGCACGAGAAAGGTGGAGAAGATGGAATATCCCGAAGTGGATCTTGTGGGTAGATGATTGATCCTGGAGTGGATACTTGTGGTGAAGTTTGTGGCGATGGGCAGCTCATTGTGTCGATCGGAGAGCAGCTTTCAGAACTAGTTGATGACGAATCTCCTAAAATACATAAAAATCCCAATTTTTGTTAAACTCCTGTATGTTTGACATCCTTGATGAAACAGCTTAATAAAAAAATGAAATAAAACTTAAGAGTTTTTGTTTTCTTGAAAATATCATAATTTACATGCAATTAATTATAATGTAGCAGAATGATCAGCTACTTGTCTCTTGTTTTATATTACTGATCAACAAGAAATGCAATTTTCAAAATATGCATCGTGAAATTTTATTTGATAAAAGGTTAAAGAAAGTAAAAATTGTTCACTATTATAATTATTTATATATTCGCCATTATAATTTCTACTTACAATCATTTGATAAGCATGTTGTTTATCAAAATATAAATACAATAACACATACATACAAACAAAACAAACGATTAAAATAAGAAGAAAGCAATTATATAAAAAAAAACTATGAAATAATTACCCAGTACAAATTGTTCTAACTCGGGATCGTCCATAGTGTTTAACGTAAAAGCTTGCTGAAAAAAAAGAGCGTCTGTAATGCTAAGTTTACTATAAAGCAATAATTTCTTACCAAATATTAGAAGTTTTTGTCACGGCGGTCCCCGACTATACTGTTATTTCCAAGTATGACAAACTTATTTACACTTCTTAAAAAACTCTTATAAAGATAAGATAAGAAGCTTAATTGTATCAATGACGCGATAGTATCATCAAATCACTATCAAACAATTAATACGTTAAGTATCACTCAAAGATGCAACCCTCAAGTGCTCTATAAAAGAGTTTGACAGTCACACATTAAGTTATTACATGTTTGTTATATATTTTGCGATGGTAACATTTTAACTGTAACTTCCTACTTTTGCGCTTATTTTAGTATTTTCGTGCTTAAACAAAATCATGAAAAGAAAAATAAATTAACAAAACACAAAATGAAGAGGTTTCTTTTCAAATATATAGATTAAAAGATAGACTTAAGAAATATTTGTAAATTTAAGATAGAATTAGTTCTGTAATGTGAGATGCAAAGAATAAAAGACATGATAGTCCTATCTACTGATACGTAAACTATTTTGATAATTCTGTATTTTACAGCTAATTTTTAGACACGCAACAGGTTTTGCAATACATTTTACAAAGCAAAAAAAAATATAAATAAACATTATTTAAACAAGGTCTTGCGTTTTTAACTTACCGATAAAAAATATTTTGTGTAGTCACTATTAAAATTAAAATTTAAATATTACTGTGTGATATAATATTTTCTATTCCAAAACAAAAACTTTTATAAAAAATTCGTACCATTAAAACCCCTTTAGTAAATCGTCTGCACTAAACTGATGTTTACATAATATTGATGTTTGAAAAGCGCATGTCGGGGTTTACCAACCTTCTTTTTATACCCGCCAATCTAATCTCGCTGGCCTACTTTTAAAGCGAGGGTATTTTCCTACTGACGCTACTTAAACAGTTTATTTTACGGCTGCATAAACTATCTTCATCATTAAGATGAATTTCATAAGTGAGGATTGAGATAATATACTGCTATTTAAACCATTAACACCAGAAGATGGTTATTGTCCACTCAATCAAAATACATGTTCACATCAAAGATATACCGTATCCGAGTAATATACACAAGTGCATAAATATATTAGTATACAATTATTCATTTGTAATTACCATACGCATTTAGCATATTGCAAGCGTTAGAACAGATACTGATGCCTTTGAAAACAAATAGAGAAAAAATGGAATTCCCGAACAACGCCCAAAACAACAATATTGCAAATGTTGCAGGCTCACTTTGACTGTTTAACATCATTTGTTTATCTCTCTATCTCTATCTCTTTTACCTCTCTCTCTCAAAATCATTTGCCTACAGTTGAATTCGAAACTTTCTGAAGCTGTTTAAGTTTTTTCCTGCGGAGAAGCTAAAGTTACCACATGGGAGGTCAAGGGTACTTAGAAGGTGTCCACAAGTAGTACTTGATATACTGTTTTATAGTGATAGTGGTGTCAATGTGATTCATCCCTCCCTCTTCAATGTCATAAATATATCACGGAGTATGTAAAGGAAGCCATGCTAAAGTCTTGTCGCACTAGCTGAGATTTAAGTATTCTGTAAAAGAATATTGATAAAATAGTCATAATATACTCATTGAAATACCGAAATACGTTAGAATCATGAATAAGATATTAAGTATCACGTTAGTTTTTTTAAAAATAAAAATACTGTATAATGACTATCACAGAGCATGCATATCATGCATGCATATATATTCCTACTTTTATTTTGTTGGGTTTTACATCGCACCAACACATCAGATGTCAGACGGCGACTTTCCAGCTTTACTTGTGGAGGATGACCTCAGAAGCCCCTTCCGTGCAGTATTTCAGGCAAGCGCGGGCATCTGAGTAGAACTACCGACTCGTGACACTCCGTAGTTTTTAATAACATACTGTGATTGCCTATCCGCAGTAGCTGAAAGTGCCATATAACTACTTTTACTTTGTGGTTTAACCACATCAATTCAACAATTGTTCTTAGTTAGGATGTACACGCCGTCTAGAACCGGCTTAAGCAGAATTGAACATTTAAACATGAAAATGGTGAAATATTGAATTAAGAAACATCCGCAGATGTGATCATAGAACATTCAATGTGACACTTTCGTGCTGTTCCATGAAAAGCGGCGTATGGTCTCCAAGTAAAAGAAAACGTGTGCCCTTAACGAGAAAAACAATTGGCGAAACTCAACAAAATAGAATGTCTAAGGTGTACATGAATATAGTATATGCGCATTATATCATATGTAAATTAGTCACACGCCCATTGAGTATCATACTTTTTTCGGCCCTCTTTCTATATATTTTTTCTCACTTTAATTAAAACAAAAGGTACCAAACACTCCAGTTAAAAATTTCAGACATGGTGTCACTGTCTCTTGAGAAATTGTTTAAAAGTTCACCGGCTGCGAAATGCTCCTTCTAGTTGTTCAATGTTGGAATATTGATATATTTAGATTAAGTCAGTTGCTTATTCTTCCATCTCACATGATCTGTTAATGTTTAAGGTCTATCACTATGAAATGAATTGAATAAATGACTATTGGTAAAATAACTTATGAACTAAATTTGTATGTGTGTTAGTCTGCGCTTTCGTTTTTATATTGATTGCCATTTAACATAAAATATATTACCAAAAGCATTATATTAAAACTGGTTAATTTTTCATAATTATAAATATTTGGAATAATTAGCTATACGCAAAAGAGGAATTGCATATATCAGCCCAGTATTTGAGAGAATTTTGCTTTATTCAGCTGATTCCTTATAGTATTCGATCGAGATGCACCTATTTACACATGTGTTACGTTTTAGTGTAAAGGTCGGGCAGAGATAAGATCTCGTATAGGCCATCGCTAACCTCTCGTACTGGTTTAAGGGGTTCACCATATCTTAATATCAACAGTTTATCAGAAAAACATCCTTGAAAGAACGGTGGTCTTGTTACTAAAAGGTGTTAATTTCACCAGAAAATAACTACAATGCTATCCAAAATGGACCACAAACCATAAATGATACGCCCACCTCGGCGTGGACAGTAGCTTGCACATTCCAGTACCGTCCATGAACCGGCTCAATCTAACCGGACCTGCAACACTTTTAATTTTGCCGTGTTGGGCATTCTTTAGGGATTCTGTTTTGTTATATATATATATTATCCAATCTGAAGTCCATTTAGATCTGATTCAATTGCCCGTTAACATCGCTTTCAATCCGTTTGTTGCCGTCTGCAGTCCGTTTAAAGCCGTTATATTACTAGTTATTCTCTGATCCTTATACGCCGAACACGCACGATAATCCGTAGCATGACTACTTCGTTTAAAACGTTCTGACCACGTCCTCATCACGCCTCTCGTGTATCTGCGGATGTTTGAAACTTCTAAATTTTGCCATATCATGTTACGTATTGAGTACTGCTAAAGCCGGTACGTGCTAGAGGGCGTGGACGGTAACTTAAACTTTCCAGAACCGTTCATGAACAAGTTCAATCAAACCGAGCCTGCAGTATTTTCATTTTTGTCGTTTTGTTCGTTCTTTAGGGATTCTTTATTTCTCTCTATTTCATATCCACATTACAACCTGGCTCGCCGGCTATAAAACATAAGTATGTTTCTCCCTGTCCTCATTCAAGTTCGCTGTTTCTCTCTGTCCGCATTCAAGTTTGCTGTTTCTCCCTGTCTTATTCAAGTTCGCTGTTTCTCCCTGTCTTATTCAAGTTCGACAGTTCAAGCATCAAACCTACGACAATGTCATAATAATAACGAGCTGGACAAGCTGGTCCTCGCGAAACACGTTCTTCGTCTTCATCTGTTGATGTATTTGTTTAGACATAATAATAATGGCTTACTATGAACATAATGCAACCGAGTAACGCATGCAAGTGAATGGGATGACCAACCTACAAACGGACAGATCGGTGAAATCTGTTTCTGTCAATCGTCGCCCGACTTCATCACGTTACTGCGAATCCCTAGTGCAATCGAAGCATGGTAACTGCGCATGGTAACTGCGTTCGAAATCATCCTCCAGTTTTAAGTTCGTTAGCTTTCTGTGTGATTGGAAAAAGGGATGACAACCCAAACATTTTGAGTAAGCGCAACATTTCGGATCCTACACGCCATTGCCCGTCCATGAGGTTCCTAAACAGACCGTAAAAAGATTAAAATACGATTACTGCGTTTTCGAATTTGCTTGATTTGCACAAGGGTATTATAGAAAGTATCACTATTTTAGTGATGATGTTGTGGTATAATCTAGTAATGAAGAATAAATAAAATGATAAGTTAAATTTAACGGCTATTTGTACACCCAGCAACAAAATATGATAAAACAAGATCAACAAGGAAAGGCGGCGTTCAATGAACGCAACCCCCATATGACCCAGCAACAAGAACCTTTAGTCTATGAAGGCTGGACATGAAGGGGGACACCATTATGTAAAATAAATAAATCAAGATTTAATAGGGTATCGCATTTTAAGGTGCTAATTTCGTTAGAAAAAAATTGCTAATTTCAGTTTTAATTTACAAAACACCCTTACAGTAAATTAGATACCATTATGTAAAGTGACAAATATTTCCCGCGATAATAACTTCACTTAGCTTAAAATTAACATTAAATTAAGTAAAAGAGATATCAATTTTAATTTTGCATGAATAATGTGTAACATATCAGACAGAATCATTTGAACCTCTCTAATGGCGTGAAATGAAAATAATCTGTGATGTAACCTTGATTTACGGTAAGATAGTGTGCGCATGTAAAGTTGGGGGGGGGGGCAATACATTATTTTACGTGTCAGCTGGTGAGCGACGATGATTGGATACCTGCAAAAACACGCGTGAAAGTCTTCCCACGAAACTCTTCCGAAATAAGCGATGATAATAAAGGGTAGAAATGAATGTTTTGAAATAATAAAAAAATCAGTGTTTAGAATAATCGGCAAAGAACAACGCCGGAAGTAAATAATAAAGCACGTACAATGCATTGTCATCTAACTGCAAAATTTACATGCAAAATTTACATGCAAAACAAATCAAACTTGATTGACATCTACTGGGGTAGTTTAACTTTCAATTCTATCTATAAAGGTTTAAACTTAATGTTTGTCGATATTATAACCAGGTGGCTTTGATTACTTAATACCTGTCAAAAGATTACGTTAGCGAACCCAAATGACTTGAAAAAAAGAAACAATTTAATGAATAGCTCGGTATACTATGCTTATGAGTCCATGCTGTTCGCTATCAGTTTCTCTACTTGTTATAGGGTATGTAAGCGAACAGCATGGATCCTGATCAGACTGCGCGGATGCGCAGGCTGGTCTGGATCCATGCTGGTCGCAAACGCATTATGTTGGTGGCTCAGTTTTATTTTTCATTAACAAGAGACTGTGTAGAAATTACCAATATTTTGTAATATAAAATTGGAGCTTTGTATATATTTAATTTTCAATGATTTTTCTACAAATAGCGTGCATAAACCCCTACATAGAAAGTGTTTTCTCGCGTCTCCTAGCTTTTAAACAATTTTCCCTACAGTTGATTCTCTCGATGAAAATTATTAAACAAGGTCTGAATGAGTTGGGAAATACAAATAGACTTAAAACAAAATCAGTAACTGTCAAAGAAAGTGCTATGTAAG